CAGTATTTGCTTGCATTGCCACCATCTGCATCCTCTCACCTCCAACACTTTCTGTTTCTGTCTCTCACTCTCTGTCTAGTCTGTCCTCTCTTATTCCTTTTCTTAGCTGACTGTTGCCCCCACCTCCGCTCCGCTTCTTTCGTTTTGACTCATTTCTTTTATATAAAACTATACCTCCGTCTTCTCCTTCTCTACATGTCTCCTTCTTACCTCCTTCCTCACCAGGCGTATTCTGTATTTCTGTTCCTGATAATTTACCTGACACTACAGGTGTGATCACACTCTCAGCTTGTTTTCTACTACATCGAGAATAGTGGTTTGTTCCATTGTGTTAATTTAGATACACATGAAAGAAGGCTTTCAAGCCAAAACCTTGCAGCGCTTGTATACTGATAATCCAACAAGGGAAATCAAAACATATCATATAATATACAATACAAAATATATCCAGTCCTGTAATCCTGTAAAAAAAAATAAAAACTTTAGTTAGTTTTGTAAGAACTGAGCTCTTGTTTTCATACTTAAAGACACATGAATAAATAATGCATGCAGGATTGATATATGACTGTAGGATTTGGCAATCTAATAAAACTGGAATATCAACTGAACAACTATCAGTTTAAAATGCTCAAAAGTTCAACCCTATGTGACTGGGTTGGTAATGAGCCTTGCTAGCTGCAGTCGGGCTACCACTCCAGACTGAAATATCTCAACAATCATTAGGTGGATTGAAGTTCAGTACAAATCTCCATGGTGGTCAGAGTATGAAATCAAATCCCTACAATGCCACCGGCAGGTCAAAGTTTTCCCTTATCCTGTGAAATATTTTGATGGATTGACATAGAATTTGATACATGCTCACATGAATCTCAGTGACACTGGTGATCCTGTGACATTTCTTCTAGTGCCACCACAAGGCCGGGACCACCCCTGAAAGCTCATTGGCCACCCCTGTGGCCACCCCAGATCTGATAGGTAGTTGGTCAAGTTCATCCACACAAGAAACAAGAGAAATGCTGTCAATCAATGATGACAGCTGATCAACTGATTTAGGGCCAGTTTTACATGTTTAACTAACACAGTAATTGTCGTACTGAGGCTGTGAGAGCTGATTTCTGCTCAGCGGATGTTTGGCCATGCGGGTCAGGCGACCCATGAGAGGAGTACGCCGCACCTGCTGCTGGTCCGTGAAACAGGAGGACGGTCACAGTTACAACATCAACAACACAACAACGATAAAAACACTGAAATCTGTCGATTGAGAGGAATGGTAGTTTAATGTTTAGTTATATTGTAGTTCCCTCTGAAAAAAAACTTCATCTAGCACTAAGTAGCAGCTAAAGGTCCAACTACACTGCACTAGCAGCCTGCAAACCAAGTTAAGCATTGAACATTAGCATTTAGTTTTTTTTATTGTTATTTGGATACCGCCATGAAATATGAAACGCTATTTTCTGGTCTGAAGACTGAGGGTGTTTTTTGCAGATGTGTGTGTTCAGTAGAGCTAATGTTATATTTTTGGCCAACCAGTGTGTGAAATATAGAGTGACAGTCTAGATTTAAGAAGCTATAACACAAGAACAAGCTGTGACTTATTTATTTGCTCTGTGCTTTAAGGGCTGTTTAAAGACTTATTTCTCTTGGAGATAAAGGACTTTTTGTTTGTATCAGTTATCTCATCTTCACAGGTCACATATTTTTAGACGTTTAAATAGGCAGAGCCAGAGCAAATTGCATTCAAATGCCACAAATGCTTGAGATGTAATATGTGTTAATTGTGTTATTAAAAGTGAGTGGTAAGAGTGGTAGTTATGTAAAAATAAACCTTTGTAGATCCTTTAAATAGACATAATTAGGCACATTGTTGACACCTCTTTTCTTTTTAACATTTTAATGGAGTCAGAGCTGTTATTTAAGGGGTTCCAGAGCCCCACAAACACCTGTATTTTGCACACTGATTCTAACCCAATTTGACAATGATCCTGCTTGATGTTTGTAGTTATAGCTATTACTTCAAAGTGAATTGACTGACTGATTGAGTGATTGAGTGATTGAATTACATTTCCCCCAGGGATATTAAGAGAATAGTTATGAAGAGAAGCAGAGATATTCAGAGCTTCTTCTTCAAAAAAAGAAAAGAGTCAGAGCCAGCCACAGCTTTTACCAGCAGCAGTGGAAAGGCTCAGTCAAGTCAGCAGCCTAGGTACAGCAGTAGTGATGAAGAGCAGTCAGCTCCTCCTGCACAGGATGGTAAGTCATGCTTGGATAGTTTGAATTTACCATGTAGGCTCACATTCAAGTTGTTTGTCACTCCAGTTATACAATTTCAACTGTCTGAAACATCACTGCACAAGAACAACACTTAAAACAGTTGTAAAAGACAGAGGAACAATAATAAAATGTGCATAATACACACACACACACACACACACACACACACACACACACGTATGTATGTATGTATGTATGCATGTACATATGTATGATTGTGTGAGTGTAAAATAAATAAATATATATATGTGTGTGTGTGTGTGTGTGTGTGTGTGTGTGTGTGTGTGTGTGTGTGTGTGTGTGTGTGTGTGTGTGTGTGTGTGTGTGTGTGTGTGTGTGGCAGAACATCCAGCCTATTGATGTCTCAGTTATCTGTGTATTCCCACAGCTGACCAGCCACACCCAGAGGAGGATCCAGCAGTGTCTGGAGCTCCACCTGCTAAGCATGGGATGTCAAGTTCTGTTATGTCCAGATATGTCATTCATGAACAGTTACCTGAAGTTGTCGTGTACTCTCATACTTGATTTCATTTAAAGAGGACGGTCCAATTTTGCCCAAAGTGTATGCTATTCATTTGCTAATACACAGCAAACCCCACACTTAAACATAGACAATCTATTCTTTAAATCTCAATACAAAACATTATGAAAAGACAAAGGAAAATGTGTGACACTAATCTGTCCACATACAGTCTATGGGTGTAATGGTTATTGTTTTTACTACTTCAGGTACTTCATCTAGTGATTCAGAGGGCATGTCAGTAGGTGATGGTGACACCAATGACAGAGAGGCTCCTCATGTTGCAAAAGTACATGCTGCCCCACCTGGACCTCACGGTATGTTGTGACATTTTATCTTTCAGTTTACACGACATTATGAGTGCCTTCCATTTAAATAACATGGAAGTTGTAAAACTGACCACAAATTCACAACTAACCCTATCCTGAATATAATTACTGATTTAAAAATAGACATGTTGAAATAACCAGAGATACTTGAGGACTGTGATAGGTGGAAATGGAATAAAAAAATGACTTTTTAAAAAACATTATTTTACCAGCATAGACACCTTTATTTGACAGTTACGACACAGGAAATCATGGGAGAGAGAGGAGATGTGACATGCAGCAAAGGACCGGGACTCGAACCACGGTCAGCTGTGTACGTATGCGCATTAAACTTCGCTATGCCATGGCCACCCCACACTAGCTTTGTGTCCCATCTTGGCCACCCCAGTAAAAATGTCCTGGATACGCCACTGTTTGTCCTGCGGTTAATTCACATTGTGTTGTCACTCCTCTCAGACAGCACTGCACTGCTCTTAAAAAAGGGCAGAGACAAATCGCTGCACCCATCAGTGCAGTGATTTCATGCTGCTTGAGTTTAGTGTCATTGCTCTCACCTGCCAAACCAACCAGAATAAAAGGTGGACATATTAACTCACAAAAAGTCTTGCAGTGAAGGAACAGTTTGTAGCTTAATGGTAAATTGATTTGGCTTTACAAATGTGCAAAAGAAAACTCTTAGAGGTTAGACTGGATTCAGTTATTACCAAAACTTGTTTGTTTTAAACAAATACAACTTATATCTATTAAATTACACACCTCAAAAAGATTTTTCCCAATTAACAACAAAGAACGATATTGACGCAGTTATTCTAGGAGAGCCCCCTCCCCTCCTCCTCAAACTGGTGGTGGAGGCTTTGCATGTTTTCTTGAAAATGATGGTCTGATGTGGCCCTTTAATATCCATTGAAACAGATATGACATTTAAGATATAAATTGACTCACCCAAGTGCAAAAAGATACATCAAAACCTGTCTTCTAATTTACCCCAGTGAAATACCTAAGGGCCAATGAAACCTGAATTGAATAAAAGGACATTAAAAACAAAAACCTTAATTAATTTCCTGTTATGTCCCTATGTATCCATGAGACTGGGAGAAGTTTGTGTCAATGATAAACTTAATTGCAGAATCTTAATGACTAATACTCTGCTTTTCCCTGTAGTTTGCTGTCACCATGTGGCAAATATAAGCACTACAGCAATGTCTAACCCTTACACTGACATTCACACATCCTACCACCTGTTTGACAACCTACTGTAGGCTCAGTTTCGTAAGGTACGCGAGGTTCAAGCGAGGTGATGAATAATTCACACATACATAGATGCATAATAATTTTACTTACTAGTCTGACTAAAGAGTGTTTAACTAACTCAGAGTTAATATTTAAATATAAGTAGTAAGTATAAGTACTTCCTCAGCCCCAGATGTTCTTAGGCTCATATACTTTAAGCTTAATGCTAATGTTACTTAGCATTCTATATTATGTGTACAACTCCATATAAGCACAAATATTAGTATTCTAATGGTTTAACATTCCCATTTGTATGTTACACATGTAAAGAACTACTGGATGGTACGTGCTGATGTTGTTAGCATTTTATCCTACAGCTGTAATGACCATACAGCGAAAGAACTATGTCATTCATTTTAGATTGAGAAATTGTGAGTTTATTCTTGAACAATATTTAAAAAAAAAAACTAAATCAACTTTCTAGAGCCTTCAGCTTTGTTTTCTAAGCTGCCAGTCATGCAGTCACTTTAGACCTAAATATGACATAATGTATTGTTTCATACACACTAGTGCAGTGCATGCTAGTTATGACCTTTTTGTGCATGTCTTTGCACCTGAGTCTATTTCTATTTCAGTTGTTCAGAGTTCCTGTGACTGTGTGCAAGTGGTCAGTAGCAGCAGAAAGTGTTAGCTGCAGTCTGACTGTGCTTCCTGTGAGCCCACAGCAGGAGTTTGTCACTTCTCTTTGTAAACTCTACGATCTCAGCTCTGCAGGGAGAACAACACATACATGGTGAGTAACACAATGTTTCTGTCTCTTCCATGAGGCACAAACAGCAACCGATTGTCATTTTGAATTATGGTTTGTTAGCCTGCAGTTTTCTGAGCTGTCAATACAGACTTTCCTCTTACTGCACTGAAGGTGCAACGTACTGGATCCAATTCTACTTCTCATGAAATAAACTCCAGGTGAAGCTTGTGATAGCTTATTGGTTCTGAATCTGTCAAATCAATTTCTTTAACGTGTTGAAGAAAAATGAAAGATTGAAGACTTTATTTGTGGTGCTTTTGGACTGCAGATATCAGAAATGTGTTCCTGTGGATTTTAGATTTCTAGGTTACAGATAGAACTGCTGTTCCCTTTAATGCCTGTATTTTTACATGTAATTAGGACCTGCATCACATTTAAAAAAACATATATACAATTTATATGTACAGACATATATACGTACAGCTATAGGCTGTAAGCATGTCAGCTTATTGGCTACTTTCTAAGGTTAATAAAACTAGAAATGTACTAGTTAAGTAAAATAAATGCTTGTTCAGCTTTACCATTTGTAAATGTACACATACATTTGTACCTTTTATGTGATTTACCTCTTTTAGACGCTTGAACATGGAGGCTACAGCCAAGTATGACTATAAAGCCACAGCCGATGATGAACTCAGCTTCAAGAAGGGAGAGCAATTGAAGGTTAAGGAACATACACACACATGCTATACAACACACTCACACCAAACACTCACTCCATCTTATTTCCAACTTTGTAGTGTAGTGGAATACACAATATCAAGTTATAAATAGCTTTCAATATGGAAAACATTCAAATAGCAGACCGCTGATAAGGAGCTGGCGGACGTTCTATGCAAATCGGTGTCACCTAGATAAGTTCAATTTCACTGTTACTGCAGTGCAACCTGTATGTGTTTTGGGGCTTCTATTACAAAATGTAAAAAAGAAAAGTAAGTGTAAGTAAATATTAATGCATTGACCACGCAGCTCCAATTACAGCAGTTAAAGTATTAATAGTAACAATATTCAATCAAGAATGCAAACAGTTTTCACTGCTCTAGTCCAGCAACCAGAGATCAACAAGTTCTGTGTTTGCACATGGTCGAAGCTTGTGACTCTCACACCGAAACCACTAATTGACATTAGTGTTGCTCTTAAGTCACAGTGATATTTATAAAACTTCTCCTTCACTCTTAATCCCTGATTCAATAATTAACTGTTTAATAGTACTTATTAGGGCAAGGTTAAAAACAATTAAATCATTATTATTAAACAAATAAGATAATTGAAAATGGAAAAATTCTAGTCTTTTCATTTCAGGTGCCCATAAATCTCATTGTGCCTTTCATTCAAACGTATACACTAACGTAACTTCATAGTACGTAGCTTCTATCAATTAGAGTAAATAAATATGTGCAATAATTGAAAGAAAGTGCAACATAAAAGAGAAAGGGATCAAATGCAAACAAGGCATTCAGCCTCCACAAAACCCTAAGACACAAACCAACTACACACACACACACACACACACACACACACACACACACACACACACACAAACATACCCACACCCACAGTAGCTAATTATAAACATGAGAAAAATCTGTTTCACTTTGCACAGCACCAAAGTAACTACTGGTAGTAAATGGAGGAAGCCAATCAGCTGATATACAAGGAGGACTGGTTGTCTCTATTTTTAGTACCACTGTGTCCACACCAAATCTACAGAGTGTCAAAAACTGTCAGGTACCAGCAGTTAGCATTGACAGGTCTTACATATGTAATCCATAATCCTTACCTACATATTCTTTGATCAGATATTTCCTGAAGTCCTATCTTTGCCAAAATTACTAATTGATTTCGCCAAAAGTCGTCTATGGCTTCTTGTGTTAGGACGATAGTAAACACTGCTGTTTATTGTGTACCATATTGTTACACATATGCTTATATTCCTCCAGGTACCCTACAGCTCTGGAAAAAAATAATAGTTATTTTGTATAGTGGCCAGCCCTTTAAATCAGATCAGAAAATTATTACCTTGACATTGCAGAAAAAGTTCAAACTGCAGCACAAAAGGTGACCCATTTAATTTCTGCTGTACCTCCAAACCAGTATTATGTAAAGACTGCTGTGGAGCATATTCAGCTCGATGCAAACTGGTCTTATGTAATTGTGTCTCATGTCTTTGTCAGATTCTGCAGACCTCTGGAAACTGGTACAAGGCAGAACTCAATGGAGTTGAGGGGTTTGTACCCCAAAACTTCATCAACATGCATCTGCCCAGGTAAAACTCACATAGAGCCAAAGAGAAACGTATGCAGATATACGGTAGATTGTCTATTTTTTTAATTACATAGAAGGATGGGATGAAGTTATCTTCACATTAGAGGGAACAACATGAATGAGGAAACTGTTTGTAAACCAAAAAGTGTAATGTTATTGCCTAAGTTTGAAATTTTAGATGAAATGCTAAGATTGAGACTCTGTAGAAATGGAAAGAGAGTCATCACGTCACACTAAAAAATACATGAATAGTAACTGAACTGGTTTTGCTATCTTATGAAAGCTCTGTCATTTTCTGCCTCCTCTGTTATTCCAGCTGGTACCAGGAAGACTCCACTCGCAGTGATGCCCAGCAGAAGCTGATGTCAGAGCCTGTGGGGGCCTTTCTCATTCGGGGAAGCCAAACTGCAACCCTGGGTAACTTCTCCATCTCTGTCAGGTATGCTCATTATGTGTTTAGATCTGTATGTACAGCTAGCAAGAGTTAATATATGGTTTCTATTTTCCAACTAGCTCAGATTTGTGTAATCGGAGTGATCTAGGGACTGCGATCAGCTAAAGAAAAAGCTTTTACGGTTTTGGTTGATGCCCGTTTTCATTTCACTTTTCCAATATATTTTCATTTTCTTTTGTGTTTGAGGCCTGTCAGTCTTATTTTTTTTCAGCCACCAGTTCCCTCCTCCCATCTCTCTTCTGTCTTCTCTCTATTCTGTGTCACCATCACATCAGTGTGGGCTAGAACAAGCCACAATTAGTTATTGCTTTTGCACATTTAATTTTTTTTTTCTATTAATAACTATTTGGCCACACCACTTCCTCCAGCAGATGCACATGTTCTCTGAGAAACTTTACCGCTTGCAATAGTGTCACATCAATTGTGGGACGTCATAACCAAGATTAGCTAAGGCTCCTCATAGTACCTGAATGCACCTTGTAACCGATCTTGACTGAAATTATAGAAATGTAGATAAGTCTACAGATTCAGTGACACTCACCCAGGAGCACATGGTTAACATCACGATATAGGAAGACCGTCCAATCCGTACAAATGTGACACTCTGTAACGAGCAAGACAAGCAATCGAAACTCTGTATACTGCAAAACTGACATAAAATTTGAATTTAAAAAAAATACTTTACAAGACTTTATGGGATTTGATAACATCTCAACTAATAGGCCTTATACAGCCTTTTTCATGTCAGTGTTATAGATGCATCCAAATGTGGGACATCAAACTTTTAAAACTGGTAGTGAGGAGGATAAATGAGAATGAAGAGATGTGGAGAAGTGTGTGAGGAAGACACGCTTTGTAATATTGTCTCTGCTGTAAAGTTTTAATAATATCATGTAGCAGCAATACTATGCTCTATTCTTTAGAATGACAGCAATCAGTAGATTTTGCTTTCGCTTCCAGTTTCAAAACTAGTCAGGATTTTTTAAACTCTGAACCCATCCTTGTGAACCCCTTCCTGTTTAGCCGAACAGAAAGGCGAGATCAAAATGTTTAAATGAGTAAATCAACGACTGATATTGTTAAATCCATTACATGTGGCATTTTGTTGGCAACTGGTATAAGTGGCATAATACATATTCCATTGAATACTCTATGACGTTGGTGCAATATGGCAGACCCAATCTTACACAAAACTTTTGAGTGACTGATGTAACAGTTCATGTTAAGTTTACTGTAACATCTGTTTTAATTTTTGAGGATGAAAAAGTGTCAGGGCAGTGGTGTCTTCTTTTGTGTGCTTTTTCTTGTCTTTCCTTCCTCCCTCAATATCTCTCCCTCATCTCAATCTCTCACAGCTTTTGTTAAATGTATTTCTATCAGAGCGCCTTGATGTGCATCCATTTCTCCCTTTACATTTTGTTCTTATTCATCTAATTTGTCTCCTTCTGTCTCTGGTAGGATTGTTTGTTCAGGAATAAGAGATTCACAAGCTCTAAAAGCCTTTTGAGAAAATACATACAAACCTCAAATTATACACGCTTTAAAAAGAAGCCAGTCAGTGATAAGCAGAGACAGAATTTATAAATATTGTGCTGTTCTCTATATTACATAAGAAAATCAAAAATAAAGCATTCTCTGTATTTTCACTCCACTGTAGACATGCAGCAGATGTGCAGCACTTCAAGGTGATGCGGGACAGCAGAGGGCAGTATTATCTCTGGTCACAGAAGTTCCCTTCTCTCAACCAGCTGGTGGAATATTACAAAAAGAATTCTATCTCCAAACATTGTCCGATATTCCTACAAGAGATGGAACAACAGGTAGGAAACCTACTCATAGAAACATATGTAAGACAGGTCCACTCACTGCAATGTGTTTGTAGTTCAAGTACAGTGGTAGTATTTAACATTTTCAAATTAAAAGCTTTTATTTGAATGAGAGGTTAAAAAAATAACTTAAATTATGACATTTCGGTCTCCCAGCAGCAAAGACACGTCTTTCCACCTCTCCCCACTCCTCCGCTCACCGACCTCCCACCCATACCTGCGCCGCGAAAGGTACTCAACAGTACTGTATGTATGTGTGTTTGTTTTTCTGTGCATACCCTGCTGGTCTAGAAATCTCAGCAAACAAGAAATGGGAAGTTGAAACGTAACGCAGCTCCAATATTGTAGACCCACAAAAAGATTTTTGGTCCTGTAAAGTTCAGCGACACTTGGTTCGTGGTCAGTCTGTGTGTCATCCTGTACGTCCTCCTCCTCTGTGCGCAGCGTAAAGCCTCCTCCACGCTGAAGGTCAGAGCTCTGTACAGTTTCCATGCTGAAGAGATGGATGAGCTGGAGTTCAGTGCTGGCGATATCATTAAGGTCCTGGACTGCTCCGATCCGGCCTGGTGGAGAGGCGAGCTGAGGGACAAGACAGGCCTGTTCCCCACCAACTACACCAAACCCATCTGAGAGGATCACAAACAGGCAAATGCATGTAATAGTACATTAACTGTGCCATATGACTAATGCAAATTCTTGAAACTGTACCCTGAACTTACAGAAAGTCACAACCCTAAACTATCAGCAGTGTTGAGTGTCCTGTGACGGAAAGTGTCAGCTGCCTAGAATAAAAATGAAGACTAACTTGTTGGTTTAGACAACACATGGATCTCTGTTTCTCGTCATGGCAAACTTACTGTTAAAGACATAGCTCATCACGTAAGGAGTTCACCTTGAGGTCAATATATGTACATGTCTGCTTTTACAATGTGACTGATGCTGAACACAAATAAGTTGAACCGATTACACGGTCATGTACTGTAGTTACCTGTTAGATCACACATCTCCCCTTTATTTTGCAGAATTTGGTCTGAATGTTTGATAAAAATGTAACCTACAATATACAAGACATTTATTTTCAAAATGTTTTATTTTTAATAAAAAAAAACAATGATGACCATCATTATTGAGAGTTGATAATACTTAATACTCAGGAAAAACATTCATATATTATCCATATCCATCCTATCCAAATATATGGATCCAGCAACTTCCTGTCTTTGGTCCTATAAACTGCATGCAACATAATTTAATAATCACAGCTCCATATTATATTATTGTTATTAAGGAACCTTTGAAGTTGTAGTTGATTGCTCGGCCACCATAGACAGAAATGTTCAGCAAATTCTGTTGTAAACCATCAAACTAAATTTGTGTATTGTGATCATGTCTGCAAAGGTATACAAGTTTTCTTCTTAAAAACTGAAAAGTGAACAATAGAAGCAAAGGCTTGTGTATACAGTGTGACACATTTAGAGCTCAGTATGTACAGTGTCATTAATGCTTATTTATGCTGAACACACGGGTATTAGTTTATATACACACCCTCAAGAGTGAAAAATGCAAATTTACATTTCATGATTCAGATGGAGTTTAGAGTGTATACCCTTCAAAGCACAGAGACGGTATTCAGAGTATAACACAGAGGGGTTGTAAACATTTGTGAAACTGAGCCTATGATTTCCCATTCACCTCGCAAAGGCATATGACACAGCGTATCTTGTTTGGCCTACACAGAAGTTTGCTCTTTGCTCAGTTTATCACCTGGGCTGGTCTGTTGCTGCAGCATTAACAAAGCCTAGAAGGGAAAGAGGAGTTCCTAAGAGCCCTTCATGTTTCCACAGAACCAGCCCTTTTCAAGTAAAGGACTGCTGCATTCAAGTTCCATCTGTAAGTCTATCATTCTGATTGGAAATCTCAAATGTACCGGTCTTTTTTTTTTTTTAAAGATGGATTATATGTATATTTGAAAAGTCTGCCTAATTGTACTGAGGTGAGTTGCGTATTTGGTTGCAAGAATAAAAATAAAACATGATATAATACCTTTAATTAAACAAACAGAACTATGCTAGGTTTTGTTTGTATTTGATTTAAAATAAAATAAATAAATAAAAACAGTATTGGTATTCAATGTAAAAACTCAGAATAACTAAATTTTGGCAGTGTCTACGGCGTGCTAATATGTCAGTGCTCTTTATTCCATTTGCACTTGAAGGCAGCATGGGTTTTGAGCCTCGAGCCCCACCTCTCTCCAGGTAAGTAAACTTTCCCAGCTTTAATTGCACCTGCCCAGCGTGACACAGAGGAACGTTTCACCGAACAGACCCCACAGGGTGTGCCAGAGTTTCTGACCTCCAGGAGGGGTGACAGCCATGGCCGAATCCCAGCTGATGTGCATGGAGGACGGCCACATCGGAGTCAAGATCCCGGAGTCCAAACCGGAGTTCTACTACAGCGAGGAGCAGCGCGCGGCCATCGAAGAGCTGCTCAAGAATGGCGATGGCGCCTTCAAAACACGACTCAAAGAAGACAACATGAAAGACTTTTTATCGGCCAGAGAAGTCAAACAGCTGGTGAACACTTTCAAAAAGTACGACTCGGGTGATGACGGCGGTGACAGCAAGGCGTCGCCGCTCAGGTCCGAGCAAGGAGCCGCCGGTACAGACGCGGATTCGGGGGTCCATTCAACCTATTGGCCCGAGATGTCCGACACCGAGGTGCCGCCGCTGGACATCGGCTGGCCCAGCGGGGGTTTCTTCAGAGGGGTGACCCGGGTGGCAGTGCACACACACCCGCCTAAAGAAAACGGACCTCACATCAAAGAGGTGGTCCGGCGGCTCATCCAGGAGGCCAACAAGGTGAGGAGGACAGTGGACATCAGCAGTAATACATATGATAATAATAATAGTTATTATTAATGTCATTTTTATTATCAGTGTTATTAAGACATTATATTTGGAAAGGTGTTTGCATGATATAGGCTACTACACTCCGGCTTTTTAAATCTACCACATTTATAATAATATTATATATAATAACATTATTTGCTTAAAATGTTAATGGGCAAAATGCATGTCGCCTACCAAACTTATTAGACTAACAATACAAAACAAAGCAAGATAAATACCCAATTAACAGCTCTTAAAGTGGAAACGTGAGGATGATGTGGTTAATAAAATTAAGATAAAGAAGATTTGTGAACTGCTGTGTTAAAAGGTTGGAGATAGTAAAGTAAACAGCCGACTGAACAAGTCATCGGGTGTTAGAGGGAATTCTAAGACAAAGGTGTGAGGTTGGCTGCCACAGAGATCAGAAGTGTGTGAGGGATTGAAGTGGTGACAGAAGCAGTTTATATAGAAAGGTATTCAACTTTTATCATCTGCTTGAGACATGTTATTTCCCCAGTAACCTAATTGGCCCAGTTCACTTCAGCTGCATTGCATTCATACCACACATACTCATACAGTATGTGCACACCCGTCTGTATGTCTAACCACATGAGTTAATGTCTGCAAACATTACAATTCTGTTGGGGCAGGAATAATCAGACGTGTGGGTGAGGCAAATGAAGGGACATTGAGCTTTGCTGGTACAGAAAACCACCAATCTGAATGGCAAACAAATCAGGAGATGTGGTGCCAACATACAGGATATAAGGCAAAGACAGTGGCTACACTATGTGGCCAAAAGTATGTGGACATGAGAATGTTACATGGTTGAACACTTCATTTCAAAACCACGGGTGTTAAATAGGTCTGCAACTCACAAATATAATTATCAATTACTCAGCAGATTATTTCCATAATTACTTGTTTGGTCTATAAAATGTCAGGAAATAGTGAAAAATGTCACGTATAATGTGTGAATCTCTTGTTCCTTCCTAAGGGGGAGGCAACCTGCGGCTCTGTAGCGCCTCTCCAGTGGCTCCCTGTGGCTTTGACAAATATTATATGGAAATTAAAAATGTACATAGTATATTTTAACATGTTCACATATCGTTGTAAGCCTAAAGTGATTCTGACATGTTTGTATAAACGTGTAGCCATTACACACCTAATCAAGGTGTGTCCTGACCTGGTGCCTTTTTGCCAAACCTCACTAACGCTCGCTACTAGTCTTGAGTCTCCCTAGCTAACTATAGACTCCAAATCCAAAAAAGAGAAGTCTTGGAGGAAAATAGAGAATGTAATGTTGCATGGACAGATCTTTTGCTTTCCCTCCCAACTACCAGCGAGAAATGTGCATTATAAGCATTATAAGCATCAAATATGTGTTGCGGCTCCAGGCGGATTTTCTTTTTCTTTTTCGAGGGCGAAAAATGGTTCTTTTGATAGTAAAGATTTTTTGACCCCTATAAAGTTGACATTTGTAGACGATTAAGACAACCAGCAAATATTCAGAACTGAGGAGCTGGAAGCCGTGAATTCTTGGCATATTCTCTTAAAAAAAGAGAATCACAATTGTTGTAGATTCATTTTCTTTTGATTAATCGATCAGGATGGGACCTTCCCCAGACTGTTACCAGAAAGCTGGTTTAAATCGTAGCATTAAGATTACCTTTTAATTGAAACAAACCACAAAAAACCCCAAGATGATGAAAACATTAAGTGGACACAGGTGTCCGTATACTTTTGGCCATGTAATGTGACGTGTGTGTACATGTCTTTATATTACCTACCTCGCATACATCCAGCCTTTTTACTTTTGCCCTTACAACTACAACTTCAGCATTATGTTCAGTTGCACAAGTGCCAGGCGGGGTGAATTCATGTTGGAGTGATTAATACCCCCCCCACACAGTAACTGAGTGCCTCAAGTGAGTCTGTGCGTTCAAGTTGCCCCTTGTAATGTTTACTCATGGACTGCCGGAGCTCAGCTGACTCATCTGTTCCGCCCGCTCACAGTCACACAGAGCCGGGCCTTGCTCAGCTCGCCCTGCCTCATTGTGCCTTTTTTTTTTTTTTAAACTGGGTCAAGGAGGATGACAGATTCATGTGTCTGTTTCTCACTCAGGGGTTTTTTGATTGTCTTTGTTATGCAGTTCATTCATTTGTGAATTTCCATTTAATTTTCTTGAGAAGTTCTTCTGTCTTTCCCCTCTCTCCTCACTCTTTTGTTCTTTTTGTTTTGTTGGATCACATACTCACCCTTCCTTCCTTTCTTCCTGGTTTCAAAGTTCATGCTAAACCAGAAGCATTAGAGCGCTGAACAACTCTTTTTTTCCTGCTTGTATGCTTTTTAAAGTGATTTACAAGTAGCTTTGCTTTGCTTTACCTTGCTCCCTGGTTGTTCCGCCTTCCAGTTCTTACCTCGCCACGCTGGGCATACGTCAGGTCAGCTGATCGTTTTGTTTACTATGGCACTTACTCATATTTTCCTCAATAAATTGGAACTGGCAACCAACTGGCAGCTAAAGTTAAGCCTACTTAACTTAACATTATACCCATTTTTAAAAGTTCTTCTGGGTGTTTCCCAAAGATGCCAGAGAAAGAAGTGAAATCATTATGCAGTAGGTTGTTAAGCTTGATGTGCGTGTGTGGAATGTAATAAACATACCAGCTACCACCTGCTGATAAACACACACACACACGCTTTAAATAACACATGTTGAGCAACCAGTTCTCCAGGCACCGACACATTCGTCTTGGCACGCAGATGTTACATTTCTTCTCATTGGTTGTGTTCTGTTTTTTACTCATTTTATGTGATGATGATCCTGTCGGAGTCTCCTGTCCACACAGGTCCCGGCTTGTGTCTCTGTTGTTAGCCTCACAGGTTCACTCAGCATTTTTCCTCAGTGAGACACTGAGTGGAAACAACGGGCCTTTTCTGCCTCACAGAGGAACATTTGTTGCAAATTTAAAGAGACACTTTTTCCATGACTTTGCTTTTCAGGGAACAGTGGAACAATTGAATATCACACATTTCCTAAACCTTAACTCTCTATGAACATGTCCGTACATGTTTGAAAGGAACACGCCTCTCCTTTTTCTCTCTAAATCTTTCACCCTGCACATGTCTATCATTCAGGATTATTGTACAGAACATTTGTTAATAATCTACAGACTTTTCCTTAAACTGCCCCCTTTGTTCATCTGTCCATCCAACACTTCTACATATCTTATC